GAAAATGACCCCGTGAAGACAGAGGCGGAGACACACATGTGATGCACCAGGGGCCACCAGGTGCTGGAAGCAGTAGGAAGGACCCTCCCCAGAGCCAACCCTTTGCTACCTCAGGGCTGTGGACCATGCTGTTCCCTCTAGAGGGAGTGTGGCCTTGCCTATGCTTTGACTTTCAACTTCAGGCTTCCAGACTCCAGACTCTGAGAGAAAATACCCCTGTGGTTTCAGCCATGTGGTATGTGGTCCTCTATCCCAGCAGCTCCAGGACACTCATGGGTTCTTCTGCATCCCCGAGGCGAGAGGGTGAGTTCACCGTTAGCCTCTCCTTCACCCATCTTCCGTGTACCCTTTTCTTATTAAATACTGTCTAACTAAAGTAGTGCCTCCTATTTTAAAATCAAGCTCAGATCGACCCCTTGTACAGCTACAACTCAATCCTCAGCAAAACGGGCTGTGAATGTACAGGTTTGTTATCGCAATGCCTGCCTCTTAACACCCTCTAAGCTCACTACGTGGCTGTGGGAACATGCAGTGCTCCCTGCAGCTCCTTAAGACCACCTCGCACCCTGCCTTTGCATTCGTGTGACTCCTCGAGAGCCTCAGAGCAAGCCAATTAGGAGAGGAAAAGGTGCTTTTCTTTCACTTTTTGCCTCCACAAGAAAAGTAACTGAAGAGCTGACAGCTCCCCCTCCACTCTGGCTGCAAAGCCCATGTTCGTTCTCCACGTGCCCCAGTGTGGTCCACACTTGCACTTTCCATGGTCTTTGGTGAAAACCTGGATAGTGGCCCTCAGAGTTAAACCTGTCTATGCCTCCATTGCTCACCCACAATATGGAAGACCCACACCCGCCTAGTAAAGCTATGTATATATATGGTGGCAATGCACCTATAGTCCCAGCTACTCAGGAGGCTTGAGCCCAGGGGTTAGAGGCCTTAGTGAGCCATGGACATGCCCCTGCGCTCCAGCCTGGGCAATAGAGTGAGACCCTGACTCAAAAAAAAGTTCTGGAATTAGATCATGGTGATGGTTGCATAGCATGGTGAGCATGCTAAATATCGCTGAATTGTATGTTTTAGAAGTGGTTAAAATGGTGAGTCTTGCATTAGGTGTGTTTTACTAAAACATATTTTTTAAAACTGACCAGGAAGCATCTGCCTACAGAGGACTGACAATGGCCAGGTCCCTCCACCCCACTGAACCTGTTTCCTTATTGGCAAAGTGAGGGAATCGGTAACACCCTTGTCACAGGGAGTTGTGCAGACTACATCTCCATTCCCGTGCGGACATGCCACATCCTCTGGGGCCTCTGGGAGGGCTCATGGCCACAACGCAGACAAAACATCTCACCATGAGATTCCCAAAACATGTACTTGGCTACTGTGCTCTGTTGCTGTGACCTCAAGACAATCCTAGCCAAGGGCCGGCACTCACAGGGGTTCAGGGAGTGTTCCTTCCCCTCAAGGCCCTGGGGCAGGGTCCATATGGTGTTTGTTCTGTAGCTGTTCCTGGTACTGTGATTCATGATAACACATCAACCCAAAGCAGGTCATATTTTAAGCTCTGGTAGCCTGGTTTGAGCAATTGGGCACTCCAGATTTAATTCTGCAGGTAATTTGAGCGATGCTATCTGATTTCAAATGTCCCTGCTCTTACGAGGGCAAAAACAGCATAAGTTTTAATTAGTGGGTAAACAGTAAATAATGAGTGGCGGTAAGTGGACACCCCTGTTAATTAAAAATCCTTGGCTGATAAAAATCAGTGTGGTCCATGCATGCATTCAACTCAGTCTATCGGGTCCCTGCGAAAAGTTGTGCAACTCAGCCCACGACACCATCTGCTTTCGGTTGTTTCCTTAGTTAAGACTTTCATGGAGAGAGAGGAAGAGAGGAGGGGAGGAAGCAATGAAAATCAAATGTCCACCCCAAGCGCTGCGATTGGGAAAATGTCATGGAATTGGGTATAATCGGTTCATTTAATTCTTGCAACCTTGAAGTCGAGGCTTCGTGCGCAACCGAGAGAGGCGACATGATGTTCCGCTCTGATGTTTTCATCAAGGTCCCTGGTTCTGCCTGATGTCTGCGTCTGCAGGCTCTGAATACAGCCTGGCCGGCCTGTATCTCTTAGCCTCCTGACATAATTAAATCCTAATTTCGCGCAGAAAAACAAGACAAACTAAAACACACGTAGCAAAAGCCCAGAATCTGAGGGTTCGTGACAAAGCAGAATGCCGAGGGCCATCTCGTCTCGGTGCCTCTGGGGAGGGCACAGAAAAATAAAGGAGGGGGTAGGGCTTGTTTTCTTTTGAACAGAAAACATTTTCTCAAGAGCCTGAGTTCTGGGGAAACAAAGACGAGATAATTTCCGGGGCCCATTCGCCATCCTGCTCTGAGAAGCAGGCTTGATTTTCCACTCAGGCACATAGCAGTGACTCCTTTTGACCCCTTTCCTCGCTTCGCTTCCATCCATTCTCCAAATCAACACTCTCGGACAGCTTTCATTGACACTGGGTATGTTCAAATTAACCTGAATTGAATTGCATCCAGAGAACCTGGTGTCTTACTCCCGAGCTGATCACAGAACCCCCGAAACGCTCAGAGTGTTGGCACTGGCCCATTTCCATGTGTCCCCGGGCCCATCCCAGCTCAGGACTCCTGGTAGGGTTAGGCCAGGACTTGGCTGAATTTGATGTCCACCCATCCACCCACCCACCATTCTGGCTCAGGTTTGCAGAATACTAGGTTCCAAGTTAACATGGGGCACACACAGCTTCTCTCCTGCGAGGTCCAGCTGGCATTTCTGTCCCTCTGCAGAGTGGCCCCGTGCACCCTCGGAGCCGCCCAAGCACTCACACATCGGTGTGGGGCTGTCTGGGCTGGCTGGTCTGCTGTTTGTTTCCATTTCCCTTATTTGGCTGATTGAAGCCAACCGGTCGGTTGTACACAAACCAGGAATGCGATGGGGACCCAGAGTTGCACCAACGTTTTTATTCCTTCCTTCCTCCGCCCATTCAGCAAGGGTTGTTGAGTGCCCAGCGTCTCCAGATCAGCCACTTTTGTGCTCACTGGGAATGAGTGACAGGCAGTGGTTAGGCCACCACACTCTCAAGTCTGGCAGCCCGTGCTCAAATCCCGGCTGTGTTACATTCAGGTTGGCACGTGCCCTGTATAGGCTGAGCCCGCGTCTCTGCCCATGAGAGGAAGAAATACCAACCCCATTGCCTGGGGCTGCCGCAAAGATCAAATAAGAGGTCATGTTTAGGCCAAGTACAGCGGCTCTCACTTGCAATCCCAGCACTTTGGGAGGCTGAGGCAGGAGGATCACTTGAGCCCAGGAGCTTGAGACCAGCCTGGGCAACATAGTGAGGCCCCATCTCAACAGAAAAGCCAGCCAGGTGTGGTGGCATGTGCCTATGACCCCAGCTACTCAGGAGGCTGAGGCAGAAGGATCGTCTGAGCTTGAGAGGTCAAGGCTGCAGTGAGTCAGGATGGTGCCACAGCACTCCAGTCTGGGCGACAGAGTGAGACCCTGGTTCAAAAAAAAAAGATCATGTATAAAACACACGGAGTCCATACCTGGGTAACAGGAACCACTGTTGTCTTCGCCACCGTCATCTTCACTCTCACTCCTGCCTTCCCAGCTGGTCACTGGGTACCCTGACATCAAGGGAACTGAGAAATCGCTCTGCCTAACTTTCCTGAGAGGTGGGGGAGGTGCAGGGTGTTTGGGCTCAGGTGTCCAGTCAGACGACCCCCAGGAGGCAGCGTGGACCCCCAGGTCTCTCCCCGGCCCCCAGGCAGCCTTTCCTGATCCCCAGCCAGGAAGGTGTGCCTGTGCAGCGTGGGAGGGACAGGACTTGCCATGGCTCCCTTCCTCACAGGGCCTGGCCCTCCTGGTGCTGAAGTCTCCCCAGGCCCCCGCGCCCCCTGGCTGGAGCCCTAGGACTCAGCCCCTCCTGCTGGAGTGTGGCCTCCCGGTCAGCCAGCTCCCCCAGCAACCCCTGGCCATGCTATCTGGACGTTGCTCACTGCCAAGCCTCCCATGACATCCCGCCATCTGGGCTGTCTCACGCCCCTCACCCTGAGTGGAGATGACGGCTTCTGGAGAACCACTGCTCTTCCCAGCTGAAGGTCTTGGCACATCCGCCTGAGGCAGCCCCTGAAAGAAATTGTACACGGTCCCACGCCCTGGTGTGATTTGCCTGCAGGGCCTGACTGAGCACACCTGGGGGTCACTCCAGGGAGCCTGGAGCCCCATGCACCCCGCCCCAGCTTCCCTACAGTTGCCTCCCTCCCTGAGGCCACCAAGTCCTCCCTGGGCCCTGGGCTTAGGGATGAGGGTTCTGGGAGAGGGGCATGGTAACATCACAGTGGGCCATGCACTCACTCACCACACACTTATTAGGCACCAACTACTTGCCAGGTGCCAGGCTGGGGCCCACAGATATACAGATGGACGACCACAGACCTGGCACAGAGGTGACCCATGAGACGTGTGGCCTTGAGGGGTGGTGTGGCCCCCTCTGGGCTGGGAGAGGCCAAGCTGCTTGCTGGAGGAGAGTGGTCTGTGCTGCGGAGGGGCTGAGGCCCCAGTGCCCCTGGGTCCTCGGGGCTGAGACCAGAGCATCCCTGGTCCAGGAGTGTTGGGTTCACCAAGCACGGCAGGTGACCCCAAGGGATATCTGGGCTTTTAGGATCTGCTTCACGGGGGTCTAATTCCCAAAATCAGGTACAGTCTCCCTCTAGGAGGCTTGGAGGCTAGGGTGGTCATATCGGGGGACCCAAGTAGATGCTAATTCAATACAGGGAGCCCACCTCTGTCTCCAGAACTGGGGTCCTAGGGAGGCGGCCATGGGGGGGACACAGCCCTACATGGGGAGGGACACAGCCCTACTCAGCTCCCTGTCGCCCCCCACACTGTGGTCTGTGGGGTCAGGAGGGCGAGAGGGTGGGTGTTTTGTGGGACTGCTAGGATCACTCACCCAGGTTTGTCTGGTTTGCAGTTCACACTGCAGAGGCAGCTGGTGCGGCAGGGGACAACCGCCTGCGTTGGGAACCCCGCTGCCAGCGGCCCTTGCCAGACAGAGCGCCCAGCACTGCAGTCCTGCCCCCACGCCTCAATGGGCCCTGGATCTCCACTGGGTAAGACCCCAGGCCACCCCAACCATGGACCCCTCCCTCCCTGAGCCTCTACGTCCACCTCTGAGACATGGGCACAATTCATCCAGTTGTCCAAGAGTCTTGCTACCTGCCAAGCCCAAGGCTTTGCTTGCCTCCCCTCCACTGGGTGCAGATGGCAGGCAGGGCCTGGGGTGGCTATCACACCCAGTCACCAGCAGCAAATGGGCAAAATCCACTCATTCAACGAGCTGAGCGCCTGTGGCACCAACACTTAGCACCTGCTACAAGCTAGGCACACGGGTCGGCAGCAGGCCATGTGTTAAACGTGCAGACACAGAAATGAATAATACAAACTCAAGATTGCAGTAAGCTCTGCAATGAAGGAGATAAAAACCAAAGATGGGCTACAGGGGACCAGGAGGGTACTTTAGGGTCAGGGAGGCTTCTTGGACGTGGTTGCATTTGGCTAAGAGCTAAAAAATAGGAGTCGGTCATCCAGAGAGCCAGGGGAAGAGCCAGACAGACAGGACCGCAGGTACAAAGGCCCTGAGGCAGGATGCGCAGGCCAGAGACTCCCCAAATGTCTTGCCTTGTTCTCTCTCTAAACCAACAGGCTTGCCTGACATCTCAGAGATCCAGTGGTTAATGGGTTTTGTACCCCGCCCTCACCTACAACATACAAACCTCCAGCCAGGTCCCCACCCCTGGGGTGGGGGAAAAAGGAGGCCATGCAACCCTAACCCAAGACAGACCTCCCTCCCCCCCCTTCCCCTCCCCGCCAGTACTGTTCTGTGGTCAAGGACTGGCCTCTCTGTGTGCTCCACGCAGGTCAGGAAGAGACCCGCCTGCCAAACATCTGCTAATGCTTTGTGGGGAGGAGGCGAGAGCCCTGCAAGGCTGAGCATGTTCCCAGGCTCTGCCGGGCAGGCGTCCCATCCCGTGCGGCGGGGGTGGGGGGAGCTGGGCCTGAGACGGGACTGGAGGGGGCGTAGACTGGGGGGAACTTGGCTACAGCCTGCTCCCACCCAAGACAACAGCCTCCCGGAGCAGTTCTTCTAAGAAACTTCTTCCAGAATTTTCTTCCTAGAGAGTTCCCCACTGTGCTCTGCAGACAGGCCTTGCTGCCTCCTGGGAGAAGCGTGGAAATGGGTCTAGAGTCTCGGAACCACCAAGACTGCAGGGTGACCCTTAGGCAAATCCCTTCTGCCACCCCCTGGGTCTTGTCTGAGACCCTCAGTGGGGTGGGTCACCCCTCCCCACTCTTCGCTACTGCCCGTACTAGCATTTACTTGCCATTTTTCTTGACGTGAGCTGGTCTTCATTTACTTAAATATATTCACTTACTCTCAAGGCTTTATTGAGATATAATTGGCATTTACGGTATAATATAATTATTTCTAGAGGAAGCATAATATCAGTCTGGATATGGAGAACACAGCCACTTGTCATAAATAAGAGGCAACTGTAAAAAGAAGCTCGGTGAAAACAAAACATATTTAAGTCCTCTCCAGAGAGCTGCCTATCCAGGGCTCTGAGTCTGTTCTCCCTGGGAGCCAAGGAAGGTTGGTGTTAAAGACACGTTAGCTTGGGACAGAGACGTTTTTCTCCACATGGTCAGAAAGATGGAGAGAACAGACAAGGGAACTATTTTCTTGCTGGGTGATAACACGCTTCCTCCGCTCCAACAACCCTGGTATGAAAAAAATCAAGAAAATAGCAGTGCTCCTGGGTGGAGTAAAATTGTGAGGAGGGAAGCCTGCCTGACTCCCCATAAGACCTTTCAAGGGGGAAGTCCTGAGGCCTCCCCTGCCACCCGCCCGCCCAGAGCATGACTGTGGGTCTAGGAGTCATTTTTCCCTCTAGCCCCTGCCCCTGGACTTGTTAACATCCTCAGCCATATAGAGTCTGGGGGCCAAGTCCAGCCCACTTCCTGGTTTTTTTGTTTGTTTGTTTTGGTTTGGTTTTTTTTGAGTTGGAGTCTCACTCTGTCGCCCCGACTGGAGTGCAGTGGCCACTCCCGGCCACCGCAGCCTCGACCTGCTGTGCTCT